TCTGGGTAACCTACAGCGAGGGCCAAATTATTGTTTAGTCCAGTATAGACTGCAGCCTAGAGCCCCTCAAGCTTTAATAAAGCAATGATTTTAATTTTCTAGATTTTTTTTTTAAGCAAGTTCATCCCAAGCAAGGCAGTAAAGCCACTAAGGCACAAGGGGTTACTGGGTGTGGAAGAATTAGAAAACAAAAACATTATTAAGGAGCAGAAACAAAAGGATAGTAATCAGGAAGACAACAGATAGTGATTGACATTGCTTTTAACTTTTTAAAGATTAAAGTTGACTGGAAAGCATGGAGCCAGGACAAAGTTCCACAAGCAAGAAGTGTGAGAAAAGAAACTGTTAGCATAAAATTTATGGTTACATCTAGCCAACTCAACTGTATATTGATGAGATCTTGTCACCAGTCTAGCATTGCACTTAAATTCATGAAGTCTAGACACCATAGCAAAGAGTTCATCCGAACAATTACCATGAAAGTATTTATAGAAAAGGCACAGGGAGGCAACATTACGAAAGTGGGAAAGTGACTGAAATTGAGATGCCAGGTCAGGACCAATAATATTGCAGATTCTTCTTTGGATTTTATCAAGAATCTCTAGATGTATCGCTGGAGAACAGGAGCTTCATAAACTGAAATGATATCACTATGACAAACTCATATTTATTCGACTTTCTAGGAAGTAAAGCAAAGAATGTTTTAAATTGTTTTAGTTTGTGTCATTGTCTTTCAAGTAGATAACATGTTTGATTTTAGTTCAAAATGTTTAATTCTTAAACATTTTTATGAAGCAATCATTTCCATTTTCTAGATGCTATAATTTCTAAATAGTTTCATAAACTGAAATGATATCACATTGACAAACTCATATTTATTTTGTAGGAAGCAAAGCAAGAAAAAAATGTTTTACTTTTACTCTGTGTCATTGTGTTTCAAGTTGATAATGTGTTTGATCTTAGTTCAGAATGTTTAAATCTTAGAAATTTTTATAAAGCAGTGATTTTAATTTTCTAGACATTATAACTTTCATAAACTGAAATGATATCTATATATCACAAACTTATATTTATTTGTTTTATTGTTACAATGCTGATTATAAAAAAATCTGTTTTTTTTATTCTATGGTTGCGTTGAAAATTTGGTTTGGAATAAACAGTAAAATAGTGGTATTTCTTTAATTGACATTTTTTTAATTGACAAACAAACAGTAAAATAGTGGTATTTCTTTAATCGACAATTTTTTAATTGACAAACAAAAGATAGCTATTCTAGTTTATTTAAAGAATTTGCAATAAGTTTATTTCAAGTTAAGTAAATATTACTAAAATATATCACAAGTTAAAAAAATATTCAAGACAGGTGTGGGTAAGTTCGAGAGTGACTCCCTCTGACCTACACGCAGTAATTTTACACTGCATCCAAAGTATTAGTGTGATTTGGTCTTGTTTTTGCTTAATGGCCAATCAACAAATATAGGGTTATTTAAGGCCAGATAAAGATTTTGAATTGTGATTGTTTTGGGTATAGCCAGATGTTATATGTAGATCATTCAGGGCCACATTATATTTTAGGTGAGCATAAGCCACAGCCTTGCCCCCCACTGAAACTTTTATAGTGATTTTTCAAGCGTAGTTTCGATATGTCGCCCCTCAAGCTTTTATAAAGCAATGATTTTAATTTTCTAGATGTTATAACTTCTAAATAGTTTCATAAACTGAAATGATATCTATATGACAAACTCATACATATTCAAATGATATCTATATGACAAACTCATATTTATTTGACTTTGCAGGAAGCAAAGAAAAGAATGTTTTACTCTGTGTCGTGTTTCAAGTCGATAACATGTTTGATTTTAGTTCAGAATGTTTAAATCTTAGAAGTTTTTAAAAAGCAATAATTTTACTATTCTTGATGTTATAACTTCTAAATAGTTTCATAAACTGAAATGATATCTATATGACAAACTTATATTTATTTGTTTTATTGTTATAATGCTGGTTATAAACAAATTTGTTTTCACTAAGATCGAGGATGTAAACTTAAACTTTATTATAGGAATCAGGCCATGAAGATTGCAGTCAAGCATGAAACAGATTGTTGCCACTCAGTGTTGACCACAGTGTCCACTTTTATGTTTACACATGCTCTATCCCTGATATTAAGCACTTTTACCCATAAATAGCTATATTTTTTACCCATAAATATAGCATACATTAAACTATATTGTTATCATACATATATATATATATATATATATATATATATATATGGAGAGAGAGAGAGAGAGAGGAGAATTTCCCCCTTCACTACAACCAAACATAATCAAATACAAACTAACATAAATAGATTCGAATTTTAAGAAATAAATCAGTTTATAAGATGATCACAAAAGCATGAAGCTCATAGTTACAAACTCATGTCAATACAACTGAATATGTCAGCTCTATCATTGATATTGAGCACTTTCCAATAAGTACTGTGCATATATAATATATATAAAATTATATATATATATATATATATATATATATATATATGTGTGAAAATATATAGAAAATAGGAGGCAACTGGTTAGGTAAATAATCCAAAGTTCCTTAGTATTTTAGTTATTATTTTTAAAAAATAGTGCTCGATACAAAAGTAGAGCATAAATATGATTATTTATTTAAATCATATTTTAAATAAATAATCATATTTTTAAATAAATAATCATATATATATATATATTTAAATAAATAATATATATATATATATATATATATATATATATATATATATATATATATATATATATATACATAAGTAGGTGCTCTGTTTATATATTAAACAGTATATTTATTTATATTCACCTACTGAATGTTTAAAGTGGTACAAATGCGTTGGATTAATAAATATGTATATTGGATTTTAGGATTTTATCAAACTAACAGCGATGTGACTACACTCGATTTACCCACCTCAGATCTTCAGGCTGGTTTGGCTATCACACACACATACATACATACATAATAGCTGGCAAAAATCAATTTATGTTTACTACTGGAAGATATTTATAGCATTAATATCATTGTGTTTTTAAACATGTTATTTAGAATATTAAAGATTATATTTCATTCTTAATTTTCTATCTTGTTTTGAGTGTTCTTTCTGGTTTTTATAGAGTAAATAAAAATTAAGAAATAAAATATTTTTATTTGGAAAAATCAAATTAAAAGTCCAAGATTAAAAAATGAATTTGTAAGTTTCAAAAATTCAAATATGCAAAAATAGCTTTTCTTTTTATTTTCAGTATTATCATTTAAAAACAATTTATAATTAATTTCCTACCTTTTCAACAATTTTTTTTTCACATTTTGTGCAGTGATATTATTGTGATCTTTACTAACATTTCTACCACAATTATTCCAGACAATCATTATAATCATGTGTTTCTAATTCACACAAATATGAATAAAACCAGAAAACTCCTGTAGTTACTCAACAAAAGAGATTCAGAAACCCATTTGATACATCATGAAAATTTGACTTGCCATTTGTTAAATATCAAAGCAGAACATTTTATCAAGTGTTTGGATGCACCATGGTAGTAATGCAGGGTTAAATATATTTTTCCGATTACTATATTAATATGTATTAATCCCGGGGGATCACTTTATTACTTAATAATAATAGAAAATAGATCCCCTATTTTAAGTCCACTTGCGTTTTCTATGAATACTATTTTATGGCCATGTGGTTGTAATTCCCACAATAATTTTAAGCAAAACCAGAAATTCCTTGTAGTTATTTGACAGAGGATTTGTATGTATTAATTCTGGGGGATCACTTTATTACTTAATAATAATAGAAAATCGGTCCCCTATTTTAAGTCCACTTGCATTTTCTATGAATACTAGTTTATGGCCATATGGTTGTAATTGCCACAAAATTTTAACCAAAACCAGAAATTCCTTGTAGTTACTTGACAGAAGATTTGTATGTATTAATTCTGAGGGATCACTTTATTACTTAATAATAATAGAAAATCGGTCCCCTATTTTAAGTCCACTTGCATTTTCTATGAATACTAGTTTATGGCCATATGGTTGTAATTGCCAAAATTTTTAACCAAAACCAGAAATTCCTTGTAGTTACTTGACAGAAGATTTGTATGTATTAATTCTGAGGGATCACTTTATTACTTAATAATAATAGAAAATCGGTCCCCTATTTTAAGTCCACTTGCATTTTCTATGAATACTAGTTTATGGCCATGTGGTTGTAATTCCCACAAAATTTTAACCAAAACCAGAAATTCCTTGTAGTTACTTGACAGAGGATTTGTATGTATTAATTCTGGGGGATCACTTTATTACTTAATAATAATAGAAAATCGGTCCCCCATTTTAAGTCCACTTGCATTTTCTATGAATACTATTTTATGGCCATGTGGTTGTAATTCCCACAATAATTTTAACCAAAACCAGAAATTTCTTGTAGTTACTTGACAGAGGATTTCAGAAAGCTACTTGACTAATCATGAAATTTTGACTTGTTACTTGTTAAATATTAAGGAAAAATATTTTGTGGAGTTGTTCAAATATGTCATGGTACTAACAGAGGCTTAAAGGCTTTGGTAATGTTTAACCATGATGCCCACAAAAGAAACTAGTTCAAAAGGAAAGTTCTCCTCTTGACACTGATATTACTGTATACACTTTTGACTCTCTCAGATATGTTTCTTTACAATATTATAAAAATATGCAAACCAAGTCTTTTCTTTCTTTTTATGTGCCATGTTCTTTAAGGATGTATGCAGTCATGGCTCTCCACTCCCCCATTCCTTGTAGCTCTCAATAAGTTTTGTCCTTCTGCCACTTTCTCTTTTTTGTTTCTTTATTCTGTTGTTCTTTCCTTTTTCATTTTCTTTCTTTCTTTTTACCTTCCTTTTCTTTCTTTCTTTTTTATTTATTTCTCAGTTTTTTCTTTCCTTCTTTTTCATTCCTTTTTATAGTTCTTTTCTTTTCTGCTGTTCTTTCCTTCTTTCACTTGTTATTTTTCATTATTTATTTATTTTTTCGGCCTCTTTCTTTCTTTTTCTTTCTGTCGTGTTTTCCTTTCTTTCTTTCTTTCTTTCTATTTTTTCATCCTTTTACTTTCTTGCACCCTTTTTCTTTCTTTCTTTCTTTATAGCTTGCTTACTTTTTTGTTCCTTCTTTTTTTTCATTCTTTCTTTCTTTTGTTTCTTCTTTTTTTTCATTCTTTCTTTCTTTTGTTTCTTCTTTTTTTTCATTCTTTCTTTCTTTTGTTTCTTCTTCCTCCATTCTTTTCTCTCATTCTTTTTCTTTCTGCCACTCTTTCCTTCTTTCATTTATTCTGTTCCTTTATTTATTCATTTTGTTCCATTTTTCTTTCCTTCTTTTTCTTTCTTTCTTCTGCTTTCTTTCGTTCTTTTTCTTTTTCGTTCCTTTTTTCATTCTTTCTTCTTCTCTTTTTCTTTCTTTTTTTCTTTATATATATCAAACTCACCTACCAACACGCAGATGTACAAATCAGTTGTTATTTACGAATCTTAACTTAGTTTGGTCCAAGGTCACATGTATGAGGCACCTAGTGAGGATCAAACTCACAACCAATTATCTATATTCCCATCTTGTTAACAATTACACTACCATGACACCCAGAAATAATTTAGGTCCATTTGATTATCTATTTGAGAATCATGGATTAAATTGATGCTAACACGAAGTTAGATCCTAACTTTCGTTTTATGTGCCATGTCCCTTCAAGGCATAGGAAATCATGGCTCTCCACTTCACCCTATCCCTTGTAGCTTCAATAAGTTTTGTCTCTCTGTGACCTCCCCTAAACCACATTCTGTAATCCACAGCTTAAGCCTGCCAGGTATGTCATGCATTGCTTTCCTTGTCCCTCTTTCCTTCTATTCGACCTGTAAGTATCAGATTCTCCAAGCCCTCCTTTCTCATTATGTGTCCAACAAACTTCATCTTCCTCTTACTGATGTTAAGTATGAGCCTCCTTGTTTGAATCCTCTCCAAGATATCATCATCGCTCACACACTCAGTTCATGATATCCTTGGCATCTTTCTGTAGAATCACATCTCTGTCACCTTGTACAAATATTGGACAGTCTCCTCAATGAAGTAGAGACTTCTTCATTGAGGAGACCGTCCAATATTTGCTGCCGTAAAGGAGGACAGATGTGACGTAACAGCTCAGTACTCTTTTCTTTGTTACCAAAGAAATCCTCCTGTCTCACAATACTCTGTCCAGAGTTTGGAATGTGTCCTTGACCATCCCAATATATTTACGGATCTCAGTGTTGCACAGTCAAAACACTTCCGCGACCTGTTTGATTTTAATGTCCCTGACCTGCAAATTGCATTTTGGGTCTCATCCTTTTACTGATGAGAATGCATTCTGTCTTCTTGCAGTTTATGCTTAGTCCCTTTTTCTTGGTCTCCTTTGCTACATTCTGTAGGAGGTTTTGTAATTTCTTTTCCATGTCTGCTATCAGTACTGTGTCATGACAATTGCATATTTATTATTTACCTTATGTAAAGATTTATTATTTACATTTTACAAAGAAACAAATTTGAAAAGAAATGTTTTTATTCAAAATTTTTTAAAAAATTTACAAAATTATCAAAATATGTAAATTAACTACAAGACACTATTCATTATTTAACAATTTATAAATAAATATTGAGACAAATTTTTTATTCAATCTAATAAATAAATAGTATTTAACATCTTTGTTGTCATTTCTCAAGAATAAGGAAAATGTATAAATCCACTTTCATATGTTTGGGTTTTATCAGAAGTCTAATCGTTGCTTTTTAAAGCAATAAACATTGCAGAGGAATTCAAAAGTAGACACATTAATAGCAATGCTAAGGAATAAAACATTCTTTTTTGACACCATTTTTAGTGGGCACAAAAATTAAACATCTATGCATATATATATATATATATATATATATATATATATATATATATATATATATATATATATAGTGTTAGTATATATATATATATATATATATTTCTCTTAAATATATATATATATTTTTCTCTCTTTAAAATAAACACTTTTCTCTTGTTGGAACAACAATAATCTCTCTCTTATATATATATATATATATATATAGAAAAATATAAAAAACTGGAAAGTTTTTTTTTGTGACACGTTTCATCCATTATGATTTCATTGGATGAAATGTGTCACAAAAAAACTTTCCAGTTTGTCATATTTTTCTAAATACCGTTTGTTGATATATAAAATTTAAAAAATTATATATCATTATATATATATATATATATATATATATATATACATACACATACAATCATATATATGCATACACATACAAATATATATATATATATATATAAAAAAGAAATATGTTGTAGTGGTTTCAATTTTCTTTCTAAATTGTCAATTGACAATTCTAGAAAGAAAATTCAGATTATAACACACAACAGAATGTCTCATATCGAGAATATTCCATTGAACATGAAGAAAATTAATTATTTTTAATAATATGTAAAAATCTCCACTTTCACCTGAAGACGGTTGCGAGACCAGACCAGAAACACGTGCCGTGAAATTATGTAAAAACAAAGTATAATATTTTTCTCAATAAATCCACATTACAAATCCAAAAACGTTTGCGGCACCCTCTTCTTTTTAATATATATATATATATACACACACATACATATATATATATATATATATATATATATATATATATATATATATATATATATATATACATATATACATATTTATACATATATACATATTTATATATATATATATATATATATATATATATATATATATATATATATATATATATATATATATATATATGACGTGAGTATCAACACCAGAATTAGTAGCAGCTGCACTATATTGAGTCTAGTTAGTTTCTTCTTCCTTACTGAGGCCTGCTGGACCAGTGGTGTGATACTTTCATTGTATCATTACGGTCTGGGTTCAATACTTGGTAGTGGATGTGCACTGCTGACGAGTCCCAAAAAGGATGAAATGGCTATACAGTGCTTTCTGGATTCTGCTGAGGCTTCTTGTTCTAAACTCAATGAATTATTATGGGAAATTATTCAAATCTCCAAATATTTCTATTGCATATATATATATATATATATATATATATATATTCACTAAAGATGACTGGCAAGGTACTGTGACTAAATATTTTATTTAATTTTTCTTGTATTTGTATAAGAGTTTTCTTTTTAGGACATAGAAAAATAATAAAAAAGAAAAAGCCCACACACAATAATATCAACTATGAATCTTACCACAATGTGCAGTCTGGGTTTAGAAAATAAAATCATTACCATCACTATAGATATATATATAAAAATTTACATATTCAGTTAAAAATAAAAAAGCGTTCTTGATCATGGCTAATAGAATAGACTAAAAATTGCTTGGATATATAAAACATTTGGATAGTTTTACACACTTTATATCCAGAAAAGAAAACACTTATATGAATACAAGAAAAATTGTAAGAAAAGCTTGATCACAGCACCTTGTCAGCTGTCTTCAACAAAACTTGTATAAAAAAGGGATTGCTACCCAAATACACTAATATATATTTATATATATATTTATATATATATATTATTATTATTATTTTTCATAGCATATTACGTAGATTCTAATATAATATCCTATAATAAAGAATATTGCTTTACTATTGTATTGAGCCCTATTTTGAAATTAATGTTATGAATGTTTGAATTTGTATTTGATTTGTTTTCATTTCATTGGAATATATATATATATATATATATATATATATATATATATATATATATATATATATATATATATGTACATTTAGACAGCATATCTTCATTCAAACATATTTGTTTGAATATCTAGACGTATTATGTCTATTTATTTTTATTTAAATTTCATCTTACAAAACTGATTAAGAAAAGATGCCACAGTTTTGGTTATATATATATATATATATATATATATATATATATATATATATATATATATGAAGAACTTGGTAATCCATATGGGTAATCCCAAGGAGGATGAAATCCTGAGAGCTCAATGTAAATCCAGAGCTAATATTTAAAAAAAAACAGACCACTTTAAGGTACCATTATAATAATTTATTTCACCAGAGCCTTTTTAAAAAGGACGCTGCATCATCAGATAGCACTTCAAAAATAAAATGAAACGAAAAAAATGAAATTAAAATTGATGGGTAGTGTAAGTTTTGTAATTTAACAGAGAGTGTAAGAGGGATAGTTAAAGAGACATGGTAGAGTATAGGAGGGATTAATTTCATATCTCTCTCAAGTATATTTTATATTGGGGAGGAGGAGGAAATTTTAAATTTATATATATATATATATATATATATATACATATATATATATATATATATATATATATATATATATATATATATATATATATATAATGCGTGTGTAAAATTTCAGATAGGGTATATCTGTAAAAGGACAATATGAATAAAGAAAAAAGGGAAAATTAGTTGACACGTTTCGTTCTCTGAGGCCGATAGTCTATTCTGTTTTGATAGCGAGGAAAGAAGGAAAATGCATATCGGTGTTGCTGTTTGGTTTCAGTGATAAAACAGAAAGAAAGGAAGAAAGAAAAAAGAAAGAAAAAAAGAAAGAAAGAAAGAGAAAAATTAGTGAAGGTGTTAATGCACATAGTCCCTCAGAGGACAAAATATGTTGGCTAAGATAAATATATATATATATATATATATATATATATATATATATTAATTCAAACTTTATTTTTAGTGGATACATGCATTTGAAATAGACTCCCCATTTTTCTTTAAAATATATTTTTTGAGGTGTTATTAATTTTTTTATATGAAATAATCAAATAAAATGTTTATGTAAAAAATATCATTTAAATACATTCACCTAAGAAAACACTGTAACAACTGAAAAACATTTTGTACTCCATCAACAAATGCATCATTGCATTATATTTCTGCTTCTTCTTTCCTTCCTTAGTTGATGCATACAACATGACTTGTTAATACCTCATAAATAATGCTCTATTCTGTTTTGTTTGTGAAGAAAGAAGGGAAAAGACATATCAGAGATGCTGATTGGTTTCAGTGAGAATCCGAAAGAAAAGAAGAGAAAATACTGAAGGTTATAATGCTTATGTTTAACCTTCAGTATTTATAGAAAACCTTATCAATTTTGAATCTTTTCATTTGTACCCCCTTACTTCTTTGAATAATGACCTACATTCAATTTTATGATTGTTATTGTAATATTTTGTGAAAGTTTTTAAACTCAAATATGTAATGACGTAATTTTCATTTTTGTTTTATAGTCGTGGAACTCCCAAGGCGCTTATTTAGTCCTTAAATTAAGAATGAAGATTCATCAGAAAATTCATCTTGGAAAACCAAAAAATTCATATTTATGATTGTTATTGCAATAGTTGGTTAAAGTCATTAAACCCATTGTTTAACCAAGTAATGAGGCAATTTCCACGGGTATTTTATAGTCGTGAAACTTGCAAGGAATTTATCTGATCATTAACTGAATAATTAAAATTCATCAGAAAATAAAAAGAAAAAAAAAGAAAAGCGTCTTAAAAAGAAATCTACAAGGAAACAAAATGAAAAGGCTATATTATGATGGAAATTATAATTATAGTTTTCATTTGTACCCCCTTACTTCTTTAAGTAACTCATTGATTTTGTAATATTTTGTTAAAGTTTTAAGCTCAAACATTTAATGAGGTGATAGAGGAAGTTCTACTGAGATTTTATTGATGTAGAACTTGGCAAGAGCTTATTCAATCATTAACTAAAGAATTAAAATTCATCAGAAAAGTTCAATAGGAAATCATGTGAAATTATCACAGGTATTTCTATTAGAAAATAAAATCACAGACCCCTAACTTCTGTGCATAAAATTACTAATTATGCATTAATCTAAGCAGCTTCTTTTGCAACCATCACTTGTAAGAGGACACTGATCTGGGACTTTAAGATGGCAAAGTCTTGTACTATCAAAATACAGATTAGTATTAAACTCAATTAATCTGAAAGTATTTGCATTGTAGTAAAATTACTTTTGTTTTGTCTAGTCAAATGATCATGTCTTGTACACTGAAGGAAAAGGTTGTCAAGAAGAAGAGTTTTTTTTAGTTAAATTTTGTTTGAAATGTAAAGTGATTTGAACAATTTTAATTTTTATTATTTTCATTGCATCCATTATAAATGATTGGCCTGTTTAATTTGTAATCTTTGTGTTCAGTGGTTGAATAAAAATGATACTTCATTCTTCTAATGTTTTCTTTTTCTGATTTGTCATGAAAGAAATTCATTTTGTAGTCATTCTCTTATAAACTGATAGTTTATGATATCTATCTAGCTAGCTAGCTAGCTAGCTCAGTCTGTTCTCTATCTCAGTTCATTCATAGCTCTCTCTCTCTTTCTATCTATCTATCTATCTATCTATCTATCTATCTATCTGTCTGTCTGTCTGTCTATCTATTTGTCTATATATATATATATATATATATATATATATATATATATATACATACAGTGTGGGGGAAACAAATATTTGTATGCATACACATTAATAATTTACTGTTATTTCCAACTAATGAATAAATTTACTTTTCATATAATTAACTGTACACAGATACCTAATAACTAAATATGCATAGAAAACAGAAAGAAATTGATTTAATAGAAATAAATCCCATTTATCCATTTTAATGGGTGAAAAAAGTATTCATCCAATACAGAGAAGAATACATAATCTTCATTTAATACTTTGTAGAATAGCCATTATTCACTTGTACAACAACCAACCTCTTCATGTAGCTCTCAATTAATGGTTTGTAAATTTTAGTTGGTATTTTGTTCCTTTCTTCTTTGCATATGGTCTTCAGATGCAGGATGTTTGTTTGAGCTCTCGATTGGATTTGAATTTTCAAATAATGCCACATATTCTCGATTGGGTTTAAATCTGGGGACTGACTTAGGCATTTCAGGATGTTTACATTATTTTTAGCAAGCCATTTCTTCATAGATTTTGCAGTGTGCTTAGGATCATTTATCTTGATGGAAGATCCAATCAGGAGGAAGTTCAAGATTTTCAACCAAAATCTTTAAATTTGCTTCCAAAATATTTTGATATTCTGTGTCATTCATTCTACCATCTATTACCAATAGGTTGCCAGTACCTATCCCCCAAAATCCCAAACCATGATGCTGCCACCATCAAATTTCACTGTTGAAACTGTGTTCTTTTGTTTGAAGATATCATCATCTTTCCTCCATACATGATTTTTAGAATTACATCCAAACAACTAAGTTTTGGTTTCTTCTGTCCATAATACTTTTTCCTAATATGATTTTCTTTATCCTCATGTTCACAAATGAATTTCAACCTGGCATCTCTGTGCCTTTTTCAATAGCAGTGTAGTTTTCCGAAGTTTGCGACTTTAGGATGTTCCTATGAATTTCATTGCTTATTGTCCATTTAGTGACAAAGATTTCTGATGAAAGCAAATCACCCTGCAACTCTTGGAGTAACCATTGGATTTTGTTTAATTTGACAAAGGTCTTGCAGAAATCTTCCATGGAGCACCTGTTTTTCGTTGGTTTTGAACAGTTTTGAGTTTTTTATTTCTTGCAATGAATGAACTGATGATAGTAAATGGAATATTCAGGTTGTCTGAGATTTTCCTGTAACTTTACCTTCTTTCCAGAGCTTAACAATCAGTTCTTTTTGCAAATTTTTCAATTCTTTAACTTTTGCCATGATGAAAACCTTCTTGCTCGAATATCAATTACAGAATGTTATGTTTTTATTTTTTTTACTAATAACATTATTGGAATATTCTAGAATATTTAACTTGAATAATCTAGAGTATTAAAGCAATTTGAAAGTTTTAAAATCTAAAATTTGCATTGTATGAATTCTTTTTTCACCCATTAAAATGGATAAATGGAATTTATTTCTATGAAACCAAATTTTTCTGTTTTCTATGCATATTTAGTTATTAGGCATCTGTGTACAGTTAATTATATGAAAAGTAAATTTATTCATTAGTTGGAAATACAATAAATTAAAAAGTATGTCTATCTGTCTGTCAAAACAGTATCTATTTTTTAAATATCATGTTTTTAGATATTTTAGAAATATCTTTTTTTAGATTTTTTTTAAATAGATAACTTTTTGTGTCCTTTTCTTTCCCTCCCTTTTTATATATATATATATATATATATATATATATATATATATATATGTATATATTGTATCTATCTAATTTTGTTCATATCTATCTATCTATCTATTTATCTATCTATCTATCTATCAAATTATGCCTATCTATCTATCTATCTATGTTTATCTTTTTCTATCGATTCATTATCTATTTTTTAAATAATATCATGTTTTAGACATTTTATAAATATCGTTTTTTAGATTTTTTTTAATAGATATATAACTTTTTGTGTCTTTCTCTCTTCCTCTCTTTACATATATATATATATATATATATATATATAGACTATTAATTGCATCTATCTAAATTAGTTCATATCTATGTATCTATCTATCGAAGTATGCATATCTATCTATCTATCTATCTATCTATCTATCTATCTATCTATCTATCTATCTATCTATCTATCTATCAAAGTATGACTATCTAGCAATTCAGTATCTATTTTTTAAATAATATCATGTTCTTAGATATTTTAGAAATATTTTTTAGATTTTTTAAATAGATAAATACTTTTTGTCTTTTTTTCTCTCCCTCACTTTTCATATATATATATATATATATATATATTCTATTAATTACATCTATCTATCTGTATATGTATCTATCTATGTATTGAAGTAATTCTATCTATCTATCTATCTAGCTATCTATCTATCTATCAAAGTATGACTATCTATCTATCAATTCAGTATCTATCTATTTTTTAAATATCATGTTTTTAGATATTTTAGAAATATTTTTTTAGATTTTTTAAATAGATAACTTTTTGTCTCTTTCTCTTTCCCTCACTTTTCATATGTGTATATATATATAGATATAGTCTATTAATTACATCTATCTATCTATCTATCTATCTATCTATCTATCTATCTATCTATCTCAGTCCGTTTCTTTCTTTCTTTCTTTCTTTCTCAGTCCGTTTCTATCTATCTATCTATCTATCTATCTATCTATCTATCTCAGTCCTATCTATCTATCTATCTCAGTCCTTTCTTTTCTTTCTTCAGTCCGTTTTCTTTCATTTCTCATCTATCTATCATCTATCTATCTATCTATCTATCTATCTTGGCCTGTTTATCTACCTATATATCGTGACATGTTTATCTATCTATCTATCTATCTTGGCCTGTTTATCTACCTATATATCGTGACATGTTTATGTATCTATCTATTTATTTATCTATCTGTCTTGGCCTGTTTATGTATCTATTTATCTGTATGTCTTGGCCTATCTATCTATCTATCTATCTATCTATCTATCTATCTATCCCCATGAGATTAGCATCTCTGTCTCATCTTTTTATTGTTGAACTGCTTAGAAGCAACTGTATCTTTGATTCTTATAATTTCTTTTCTTGCATTTCAATTTATTACTTTCCTGTCACCTACATTCTTCAAAAAATTAAAATTCAACATCAGTTGCCAATTTTTCTGTCTTCTTAAATCCTGTCCTTTCTTCTCCCTAAAGTCTTCTCATTCTCTTTCACTCTAAGTAACCCCTTGTATCATAGTGAAATTATTGCCTTGTTTGGAGTGAAATAATTTAAAAAAATCTATCTCAGTGTGTTCTTATCTATCTATCTATCTATCTATCTATCTATCTATCTATCTATTGCCATTACTAACACATCAAAATTACTATTGCCGCATTAGTCTGCAATCACCATTAACGTAAATTACTCCTCTCTCCCCCAGCAAAAATTAATAACATCGCATAAAAACTAACAAGTATTACAAATTGGAATTTCTACCATTTACATATGCACAATCACTAAAAACAAGAAAATAACTGGCTTTAAAATAATAACAAAACAAATAATAGCAATTTTTACCTATTATAGTTTTATACAGACCCCATCATACATATATACTTGCGAGAAAATATTATTCAGCGAACAAAAATAGAGAAACGGTCTGCTCGTTGACATCGCTACAATAAAAAAAATATTCGCGACACAATCCATCACTGAATACAGCAATCAAATGCGTATGTATGTACACAATGGCACATATATACATATATATGCCAAGTCCCATACTGTTCACATATGGTTATGTTTGTGTGAGCTCCGGTGGGTGAGCACGCATATGTGTGTGTCTGCGTACGTCAATGAGTGTACGTGCGTGTATGTATGTTTGCGTAAGTATGAGTGGCGTCACAATGACAATTTTTCCTCCCATTTCCATAAAAACACCAATATACGCAACCCTAAATAAATCCAAAATTTGAAAAAATTAATCGGTTTGTCTGACGATCGCAAAGGGCCTGAAACTCAGGGTCACAAACTCACATCAACACAAATAAATATGTTAGCTCTATCACTGATATTGAGCGCTTTTCAATAACTACTGCGCATATATAATGCATAAATGATATATATAATAAATTGCATATATATATATATATATTTATACATACACATTTCACACACGCACATATATGATAAAAATATAATTTTAAGGTATGCTATATTTATGGGTAGAAGTGCTCAGTAGAGCATACATGTAAATATAAAAGTGAACACTGATGTCAACAATGCATGACTACTGGCTGTTACATGCTTGAATGCAATCTTCAGATTGCATTCAAGCATGAAACAGTTTATTGACACTCAGTGTTGACCCCAGTATCACTCTCAATGTATATATATACAAAATTTCTTAAAATTTAACTAAATGTTCTGTTTTTTTTTACTATACTTTTCAAGCTTTTGTACATCTGGATAAAAATTTTAGACAAACTATCCAACACTCATAGATAGCACAATAATAGTAATAAATAAAATTAAATGTTCACTTATCTTATCTGTACTCAGAATTTCATGCACTCTTCAGGAGAATTTATTGTAAAATTGAATTTATTTTCAGAAATCATATTTTTTCTTATAAGATGCTAATTTTCCTTAAGTTGCTAACTTTTCTTAAAAGATGTTAATTCTTAAAAACATGAATGTTTCTTAGATGATGTAAACTTTCCTTATAAGATGTTAATTTAAGATGTAAACTTATTTGTATTAGATATTCTTTTTTGTAATAATGTTGACATTATTTCATGGGCACCATTAATTTATACAGCAATTAAAAATATTTTAATTTCTTTCCTTATTTGAATTATTTTCTTTTTGCTTTTGTCAAAACAAACACAGAAAAGTCAAAATATGTAATATCGGTTAACACTAAAAAATAGAACAATCTTCAAAGATTTTAATTTCTTAAAATCATGAATGTGTGTAAGTTGAACTTAATTTGCTTTCAAATGTTTTCTTTTTATTTAATGGACTCTATTTATAAACCGTATAAAACTTATAAACATTATAAACATTATAAAACTTATAAACATTATAAACATTAAAAACATTATCAACCTTATAAACATTATAAACTTTATAAAACTTATAAACATTATAGACATTATAAACCTTATAAACATTATCAACCTTATAAACATTATCAACCTTATAAAACTTAAAAACATTAGAAGCATTATAAACCTTATAAACATTATAAAACTTATAAACCTTATAAACATTATCAACCTCATAAACCAAATAAAACTTATAAACATTATAAAAATTATAAACCTTATCAACATTATAAAATTTATAAACATTATAAACATTATCAACCTTATTAATCTTATAAACTTTATAAAACTTTCAAACATTATAAACCTTATAAACTGTCGTGGAGTAAAAAGTACATTCCTGGTGATTCTATGAACTCGTCCAATACTATAGAGAGTTCCATGGTATGAGGTTGGAGTAGTCGAATTGCACACTCGACAAGACAAGACCTCTGTCTTTGGGTGGAGAATGACTCAGTCAGGCTCTGTCTTCGGATAGAGACTTGACTGAGAAAAAAAGACCAGTTCTGTACCCAAGCCTGCTTTGGTGGGCGCTTCGTAAATTTTGGCCAGTGGCCCAGGTGGAAACGCTTGGGTTCCCCAAAGTAAACTTGTGTCGCATCTAGTCCGCAGTGGGGTGACTGGTAAATACAAGTCAAATCAAAGTCAGGCAGTTTGCTGCCAGGCTCAGGACAGACTTGTCGAATTCTCTGCCTTCAGAGAGGAACCCAAGCGAGGCTATACCTATGGGCAGAGTCTCGTCTGGAGACGTAGACAAACCTGGTCCCGTGTACGTGGGGTCTAAGGGGAATTTTTGCCCAAACCTATGGGCTCAGAATAGCCCCACATAAAAACTGGCCTTATGGGGAGGATTGGGTAAATACCAGTCGCATGAAAATTAGTCCCAGGCTTGCGACAAGACAAGACCTCTATCTTTGGGCAGTGGATGACCGGAGTTCTGTCTTTAGATAGAAAATCGGCAGAGAAAAACAGACAAGTAATGTACCTGAGCCTGGGGACTGGGTAAAATTTGACCAATGGCCTGGGCAGAACTGTTCAGGTTCCCCACAGTAAATTTGACCTTGTGTCGCATCTCATCACAGTGGGGAGACTGGTATATACTAGTTGCATCGGAGTTAGGCAGTTTGCTGCCAGGCTTGCGACAGACAAGACATCTATCTTCAGTCAGAGGGTGACTCAGTAAGTGCTCTGTCTTCAAATAGAGGCTTGGCTGAGAAAGACAAACAAGTAATGTACCTACCCAAACTTGATTTTGCGGGGTTGGGTAAATGTTGTGGCCTGTTAGGGGCCAGAAAGAAAGACACGGAAGATGAAGGTAGTTGGAACAAGTGTATTGAAATAACAGATATATACAAATACTTTAAAAACATTGTTTTGGAAATTCTTGAAAAAATCAAATCATTATTGGGATTTAATTAAATTTTCAGGACTTATTTAGAAATGAATGAAATTATTTTTGAAATTTCTTTTTTCAGAAAATCTTGGTAAAAATATATTTTATTTTATATCTGTTAATATTCAACAGCCCCCGCCACCACCACCACGAGGAATGTATGTGGCACAAGGCCAAGTTTAACGTGGGTTCTTCGAGCCAACAGGCTCGATCAAAAATATTCCCGTAGAACTCGCATAGGCGGGTCCGGGTCTGTCTACCTCCCCGGACGAAACTCTGCCCTTCGGCAAAATCTCGTCCGGGTTCCTCTCTGCTCAAGGCAGAGAGTTCGACAGTAACGAACAGTTTGAAGCACTGTTCTCTTTTTTCGCTTTTTTTTTCTATATCTGTTACCCCCCCCCCCCAACTTTATTTTATGAAATTTCGAGAAATTAAGATTAGAGTCTCTTCATATTTATATTAGTTAAAAGCAGAACTTCTTGGAGAATTTAAATCCTCAATTTGTTTTTGTCAAACAGAAACACCATTTACTGAAAATCTGCTCTGAATCATAGATTAAATAATGTAATAAAATTATGACATTATTTAATTAGAAAAAGCTTTTAATTGCTTTTATAAATATATATTAAGGACGCTGTTGTCTTAACAAAAAAAAATTTTTTTTTCGATGAATATTGAATTTTTACAAGATTTGTTTTCATTCTTTAAATTTTAATTAGAAAAAATATTAAATTTTAAATCTTTTAAAATTTTGTATTAATTTCAGCCTTTTAGATGATTAAGTGAGAATTATATTTACTAATCACAAACAGTAGAGCTTAATACAAATAACCAAACAATATTTTAAAAAGAGTTTTGATTCTTTTTGTATGTGTATAAACGTGCCGATTTTTTAAAGTACGGCGACCATACGCGACATTATCAGAAAATAAGAGCCATAGCTATAGTAAATCTAAAGTCTATATTTCAAAAATTCAATAAAACATTAGATTACGGTGAATATTTTCCTAAATTTTAAAGATTAATGAGTACTCGAAAATTATATAAAAAAAGGCGCTCACGTCAGTTTCTACAATTATGTTTTACAGATAATGTCTCCGTAGAACAACATTTGTCATCAGATTGTCATCCCGACAAAACAGCTACTCTCTGGTTAAAAACACAGGTACCGACAGGTTAAAAAAATACATTTATGCAATATTTTAATCTTAAAGTAAATAATATTTGTTTCATATCAGATTAAGTATACTTTAAATCAGCTAATATTTTTCTGATAAAGTTTCAGAAAAGTGTATTCAATTTTTGGCAGATTTTTTAACAAAGAGAATTACATTGTGATGAAAGATAACTAATAAGGGTGATTATCAGCTATTTTAGCAAAAAAAAAAAAAAAAAAAAAAAACAACTCCTTCCAGTCAATTAAAATCAGTTTATGAAATGCAGGAAAAATTTAATCTATAAGCTTGAAATTAAACTTAATTAAAAGGTTCAATTAAGATTTTTGACCTCTAAAAATTTC